TCTCTCTCTCTCTCTCTCACTTGCATAATTAATTGCTGGGTCACTCTCCCTCTCTCCTTCATAATTAATTGGTGGGTTTGATTTAGTGGTCTGTGCAGGATTTCTGAGGCAAAGCTTCTTTGTGCAGTCACTTTTGTAAATAGAAAACAATCAGCACAGGCCCCGGGGCATAAATCAAATCTAGATAATGCCTATAAAAGCTGATGGGAGACAGAATAGCATCACAGCTTCATGCAGAACTGCTTGGGTGCGTTTATTTGTATGTTTATGTCAGTGTGTCGTTGTAATTGCAGCAGTCGGGTCCTCTCTTCCTGTGTGAGTGTTATACTGATTTTTGAGACAGCGCAGGTGTAGTTTGTGAATGTTGACTGAAATCATCAGAGGTGGCTTCTGCTGACATTTAGTAATATACTATCAAAGTGCTGAAACTATTTTTTCAAGCAGAAATGTCCATAAATATTCTTCCAGTATCTAAAATATGAAGATTTGCTGCCTTTACTTGTAATTACATTATAATAAACTTGAGTGTCTTCTAGGTTTGGGACTGATGGTCAGACAAGCAATTAGAAGACATCCTGTTCTCTCACAATAATAATCAACTGATTAATCGATCAGCTGTCTCGTTTGTTATCAATATGGAGTAAAATTAATCAAGTGTAGCTTACTTACAACCTCTGTCCACATTTCTTCCAAAAAACTGTTAAAAGATGATATCAAAAGGAGAAGCGTGATTCCTGTTTTAGGGCTCAAAAATGGATAAATGTGCTGCATGTCCTTGAATGACTGTAAGGAACATGGGAGACAAAAGGAGAGTGAGTAACAGGGAGCATGAATCCTTATTGTGATGTTTATTTATTATTATTGTTATTATTATGAGTGGTGTGTTCCAATAAAACTCTGTGCTCTGTGTGTGGGTGCGTATAATGGAGAGAAATGACGCCTGGCTATTGAAGCGGAGAATCGGTGTGTGGCTGCTAATAAGAGGAGGAAAAAAAAACGCAAGTGGGGGTGCCGATGGCGAGAGGAGGAGAGGAGGAGAGGAGGCTGTTGTATGGGATTAATGGACACACTGTGCGTCTGTGCGGGAGGAGGGAGGGGAAGGGAGGAGATGGGCTTCTCCACTGAGGAGGAGGAGGAGGTGGTGCTGGTGGTGGTGGGGGGGTGACGGGGGGAGACCACTGTGGCAGGGGAGAGGGAGAAGAGAGACAGGGAGGGAGGGAGGCTGGTGAAGCCGCGGATATTCATGAAGACGCCAAGTGTTTTTTCTCTCGCCGTGGTGACACAGTGCTTGTCTGCAGAGAGACAGAGGGAGCGGGGAAGAGAGAAAGGGGAAGAGGAGACGAGTGAAAGCAAGACGAGGCCCAGCCCATCTTTCCATTGATCTTGAGGCGATCAAGGTGAGTGTGTTTTTATTCTTACATGCTGCAGCCTGACTGTTGAATGTGTGTGTGTGTACATGTGTGTCTGTCTGACACATATCTCTTGCAGTGCGTGTGCAGACAGGCGTGATGGCAGGACTGTCCTCATATATGGATGCTTTCAGTGTGTGTGTGTGTTTTTAATATATATATTTTTGGGTGTTTTGTAACAGAAGAGCAGGCTGGTAGTTGGGCTGCATATTGATGCATTGCTGCTTGGTTTTATAAGCTGCTTTATCTGTAGTGGAGGTGGTACTGGTGGCAGCCATGGTGTGTGTATGTATGTGTGTGTATGTGCTCAAATTTCTCATTGTCTGTGTATATATATGTCACTGTGTCACTATGCATTTGTTGATTTCTCCACACAGAGCCTTTTTTTTCCTTGTTACTGTGAGCAGACTCTGCTTTGAGAGTGCTTTCATTGAGTGGGTGTGTTCTTGATGACCCCTGGTAAAAGTCGTCTCCACCAATATCCGTCTGTTTACCAGCTCAATCAGAAACACACTGATATGCTGAATCTGTCCTATCCATTGGAATTAGGTCATCTCGGACTGCTCAGAGTAATTATATAACATCAGAGAGCTTTGGTGTTGCAGTATCTGCTCAGAATTAGCCACACTGTAGGTACAGCTCCTGCAACGCCACGACAGCCAAAGTATTTTGTTAGGGCTGCCCCCCTTTATTAGTCGACTAATCATTTCTTTGTATGTTAGTCAACAAATTGGGATTTTTTTTATCAGTATTTCATTAATTTTTTCATGCATGAGCTTTGTGTATTATGAAAAACAATAGTCATTTGTTCTTAAGTATATCTCCAAGCCGGTTTACATTACTAAAGGAGTGCTGTATATATGTGAAAAAAGGATTTTCTCATATTTGATGATGCATCAAATGAATTCATTGTACGAAAGCAGGACAGTTCTAAAAGAAGGAAGGAAAAATGACTCAAAGATAGCTGAAAATTAGCTGACCATTTTTAAATTCTTGCTCATACTGACTCGTTATTTCTGTTTCCTCACAGGGAGTCTACACCGAGGAGGACACACAGACACAGATTCAAGGATGGCTCCTGGCATATCAAACCTGGAATTTTGACGTATGGATTTAACACTTCTCCCTATGCAGGATTTGGATCCGACTGACTGATCAGATAATGGAAAACTGATCTGAGACAGGAGGCGCAAACATTCCTCCCACAAACTGGATCCAGGATTATTAACCGTTTGAACACTGCATCCATGTGGGATCAGGTTTACAACTGGGAAATGTCATGCAAGCAATACCCCAAGTTGGATAAACATTTAAGAAAACTTGGAGAGTTTTCTTCAGCAGTGACGTCATGAACTCCGACTGGGATATCCCATTGGCTCGTCTGGCCAAAGCAAGACAACATGCAGGTGGACTTATTATTTACGAGAAACCAGTAGATTATGCTAAAATGGAGTGACTTGATTTTTTTTCCAACCTTTTGGCTTGCGAATAAACAACAGATCAAAACAAAGGTCATCCACCTCAGACTGAACCTGGGGCCTCTGAGGGGCACATAAATGCACCTTTAGCACTTAACGACCCCCCCCCCCCC